TCAGGGCATGGGTCTCTTACTCTGTACAGTGTCTAACGGGGACCCATTCTTGTTTGGCCTTTAGGCACTACCATAAGAAACATGATTAATAAAATATTCTCTTGGAACGACCTGCATCCCAAGTGACAATGACCATAGGTGTGATCTTCACAGCATCCTCTTATGAGGCCCAACTTCCCTGACTTGAATCGTTGGTTTGACTCCTGCAAGTACCAACAGCATTCTAGGGGGATGCTCTGGTTGATAATTTCAATGGCTGTAGAATGCTCAGAGAGATGCTCTAGGCAAGAACCCCCTGCATGCTAAATGGCAATATAAATATAGAGTCAAGCATAGGTAGGAGAACATTGATAAATAAATGTCTGTGTCTTAAATGTACATTTAAAAAAACAACAACTAAAAAAACCCTTATATAAGACAGGCCCACATCCTCAGGTCAGTGCTTTGACCACGCTTACCACCACATTTTCATAAAATCCTTGGGAAGTGCTATTTCAATTCTGTTTTGCATTGATAATAGCTTGAGTGACACTTCCCAGCCTATCCAAATTAAAGACCTTTCACAAACGTATATACTACTTTCAACTAAAAATTGACTCTTTTTTATTAAACTGATGATCATAGTAGAAAGTGTCCTCCACTTTTCTGCTTAACTGATTATTCAACACAGCAGCTATGCTAATTTTATACTACATTTAAGTGTTGATTGAGCTTAAAGAATAACATTTATTTCTGTATTCTTTATTGAATTTTAAAAAATGCTTTATAATATACATTGCAGGAAAAACAGTCATTTGTATTATTTAATGAGCATGTGTGAATGTGTGTGTCCTGGATAGCAGCCACTTCCCCCTTCTCTCCTCATGCGCTTTTGCCTGTTTGACAACTACCTGTTCTCCCATCTTCACACAGCCATCCTGCAGTTTTCCTTTCTGGATAGCCACACTCCTGCACAGTGTAGGAGTCTTGCATCTGGGGAAGCAGCCTGCCAGAATTCTATGCACGCTGGAATATAAATTCAGGGAGATGTTCTTTGCTACGTAACCTAAGTCTAATGTGTTGCCTATGAGGTGCGATGTAGCTTCATTCTAGTCTATCCAGCAACACCAATTTACTGTGACATGCTGATGAGATTTTATTGGCTTATTAATAGCCTGGTATAGCATACATATCATTTAGCACCTTAAATCTCAAAATGCATTACAAACTATGTGTAATATTACACACACAACCTCCCCCCCCCCCAATGTTAAAAGGATGTTAAGGTTGCAAAGTCAAGCACTCAAAAGGTAGAAAATGCCAGAATTAAGTCCTGTGCAACCTTAAATATGTCCCCTTTGTGCGTATGCATTAATTACATGATCACATACTATTTTTTCCACCCACAGGGCCCCTGCCTCATTCAGTGTAACCCTTTTGCTCTTCTTTGTTCTTCAAGAAATCCTTTCTATTATTTACCTGGTGGACTCTTTGACCACTATTACTTTGTGATCTCCATTATGAAGCATGCATTTTCCTCTTGATACGTTTCTCAGTGCACTCTCAAAAATGATTTGATATTTTTAGGCAACTGCATAAGCTCTTTTGTATGTTTTTATGCTGATAGTAACAGATGTTTGTGTACTGTATCCTAAAAAATGTTGTGATCATTCATTCATTGGTTCAGAGTGGCAGCTGCTTGGTAAAAGGAGAAAGTTTTCTTCTCTGTTAATATTTAATATACAGTAGGGAAGTTTTATAGAGGATGATAGTATCACAATATGTACAGTACTTTATTTGAATTTGCATAACTGCAAAATATTAGTGTTTGGAATTAAATTAGGTTGGAGACACTGTGTTAAATCGCCTTATCTCTCTAAGTACTGTAGCTAGCCTGTGCTGGTTTTATCGAGGGCATCAGATACAGCACATATTACATTATTGTTGAACTTGTAAGTCCTCAGATGTATTCCTTCAGCATCAGGTTCTGACTGAGTTTATAGGGTCATTACTTTCATATATATCTTGTTAGCAATACCTTCTCTCTTATTCTCCTGATTCTATTATTTATACCAGAACCCTGATTTATTTTGATCAAATTAGTCCTGAAGGTTGAACTAAATAAAAAAGATGTTTATTCTCTGATATAGGTCAATATCTGTCTAGGTACTTTAAGGCTTAGTTAGATGTAACTATTGCACTCTACTACGAGTGCCGTATCTCAAGATTCTTTATTGCACTTGTGGGCATTAGTTTCTCAGTAACCATGCGTGACTTTAAACTCTTTTACTTCATTTACTCAGTATACAGGAAAAATTGCAAGTTACAGCCAACTTTGTTTCACAACCCTCATCTTAAACTATGGAAATTACAACCAAAAGATTAGAGAGAAAGTGGGTGAAGTAGTATCTTTCGCGCTTATGCAGAGCTCTTCCAACATGGCTACAACAACATTGCATACAACCAAAAGATTCTCAGTTTACGTGCAACTTTATAAATAGGTCAAGTCATTTACTCCACCCGAACGCGGAAAAGATGATGGGAGAAGGAAAACAAAATTTGAATTTCTCTTCTGGTCAGGTGGATGATGGGGGTGGTTTTCCTGTTATGGTTCTTTCCTCTAGTCGTCTGAAGTCAGGTTGGAAAAGCTGGATCAAAGGTACAGTCTCCACTTTGGACAGAGTCGTCTCACGTCTCTCTCCTCTCTCCCTCCTTTCCAATGCTAGATGACCAAGCAAAACAAATTTAGGACTAGCTAAGGTTTGTGAGTAAGACTCAATAAATATCATGATGTGAGGCTTGATACCTGTAACCTGGAGCAGAAAATAATGAAAAGCAAAAGAAAAAACAGCCACAAAGCAATCAAAACAAAACTGACAGAAATAAACAGAAGACCAATGCTGTTCCATGGTCTACTGCTAGGTTCTTCACAGCAGTCCCTTACAGGGTCTTCCAGTGCTATTTCTGACACAGATAGCTCAAAAACAAGAGGACCTTGAGTAATTTCAGAACATGCCTCCCCTCACAGCCCCAGAACAAAGTGACAGATGTCTAGTTCTTGAAACAAGCTTTGGCAAGGTTTCAGCATGGATTGGGTGGTTTCTAGTATGCCTTTGATAAATGATTTTTAGGCAGCTTTCCAAAGCATTATGCCAATAGTCCATAATGACCCATTACACCAGGGGTCGGCAACGTTTGGCACACGGCTCGCCAGGGTAAGCACCCCAGTGAGAAGCCGCAGCCAGCACATCGCTCGCCCGCGCCGCTTCTCGCCGCCCCCATTGGCCCGGGACGGCGAATCGCAGCCAGTGGGGGCCGCGATCGGCCGAACCTGCCGCGTCAGCAGGTAAATAAAACTGGCCCGGCCCGCCAGGGTGCTTGCCCTGTTGAGCTGCTTGCCGACCCCTGCATTACACAGTATTATTATCTTTATTTTGCAGATAGAGACAACGAGACACTGAGAGGTTAGATGACTTGCCCAAGGTCATTTAGGAATCTATGGCATAAAGCTGGGAATAGAACCTAAATCTCTAGACCAGGAGTCGGCAACCTTTCAGAAGTGGTGTGCCGAGTCTTCATTTATTCACTCTAATTTAAGGTTTCGCGTGCCAGTAATACATTGTAACGTTTTTAGAAGGTTTCTTTCTATAAGTCTATAATATATAACTAAACTATTGTTGTATATAAAGTAAATAAGGTTTTTAAAATGTTTAAGAAGCTTCATTTAAAATTAAATTAAAATGCAGAGCGCCCCACCCCCCCACCCACCCCCCCGGACCCGTGACCAGGACCCGGGCAGTGTGAGTGCCACTGAAAATCAGTTCGTGTGCCGCCTTCAGCACGCGTGCCATAGGTTGCCTACCCCTGCTCTAGACATCTAGTCCCCGGACTTAATTTCAAGGCTATCCTTTCATCTTGCAGGGATCACTTCATCCTGCACTAAAATTCACCCACCCTAGGGTAGAAAATGACAGCTATTTAAACACTGCACAATAATACTATGCAAAACAAATTAGGATTGGATGTGAAGATTTCCTTATTCAATTGATATAATGGGGTAGTTTAGGTAGATAGACTATAATTTCCCAAACTGGGATCTGGCCAGAACAGCAGGATTAGCATCCCCCACTGTTACGAAAAATTCCATGTGATTTTTTTTTCTTTCTATACTGATCATTTGATTGTTGAAGGGACTAGATGTTCAGGTTCTTGGTTTTACATGTCATCCAAAGGCTCACCTCTCCAGCTGCACAGTAAATCTAGTTGTATTCTGGATACTCTGTGTGAATACAGACCCAAGGGAGCTGTATCATTTATTGAATTGGTACCAGTTATTAGGACACCAAAATATTCCTTGCAGGTCTGGCCTTAATCCTGGTTATGTTGTAAGATCTGATGAGCTCATTGTGCAAGGTGATATGACTTCAAACATAATATAACCTACTGTGTTTAGAATATGGAGGACATTTCCTGCCCATGTGTATATATATTTAAAAAGTAAATTAATTGACGAAGATTATACAAAAATAAATCCACTTTTGTGATACATATTGAAATATGTGAGCATATGCTAAATATGTGAGCACTGACATTTGGCTCTGCAGCGAGATTTAACTAACGAGCTATTCCCAAACTGCACATTCTTGCTTTCGCTGATGATGCTGATACACTAGTATGTAAATAACAAAAGGAGGCCATATGAGTTCTCCTTTCCTTTAGAAAGATAAAAATCTGTGTCAAATTGTATTGATTTTTGGCTCATACTCACAAAATGTGAGAATTCTTAAGTGTTGCAAACTGGTAATTAGAAATGAAAAATGTTACAGCAGTTAATTTTAGGTGTGGGTGTCTCTTTTTAGTATACTCCATATTGTGGCTTGTAGTTCATATTATGATGCAAACTTTTTGATTTTTTTTTAACTATATAGTTATAGTGATGGTTTTTATTGCTTAATGTGCTTTTCTTACATATTTGAGAATTTTCTATTTCCAAAAACATATCTATATTTATTACTTACCAGATATAACTTTCTGTGATGGAAGATGGAAGACAAAGGCGCTCGTGTTGCTGACTACTTTGTTGTAGCAGGATTGACAGATATTTCAAAACCACTAGAAGAAGAAATCCACTTCAATGATGCTTGCCATAAAATAGCTAAACCAAAAGAACCCATCACTGACGTGACAGTAATTATTAAATCTCTGGGGGAGGAAGTGCCTCAGGGATATAAATGCATAGATGTTACTCCATCAGGACTATCAGCAGATCTCAACAATGGGAGTCTTGTGGGTCCACAGATATTCCTTTGCTACAGGAGAGGAAGGGACAAGCCTCCACTTACTGATCTGGGGTGAGTAATTTTTTTATTAGTGCTATTGATTCGAGTAATTTTAAGTGGTACCAACGATTAACAAACATAGTACATGTTTTACAAAAATACATGCAATACTAAGAACTTGATGTATTTACACATATAGGACCCGATCCAATGCCCTCAAAGGAAGGGATCCTGTTGACTTCAGTTGGGTTTAGATCTGGCCTCTATTGTAGAAGAACATCATACTTAGTAAATGTTGGATCCTAGGCCTTGTCTGTGTGGCAAGTTAGTGTGCAGCAAGCTGAGGTGTGAATCTACCGTGCACCAGCTTGCTGTGTACTAACTCACTGTGTGACCCTGCTACAGTTCAGTAAAAGTCTGGCGCTGGTGTCAAAAAGCCCTTAGTTAATGACAGCAATACTCCTCTACACTTTTGGGGGGACTTGCAGCATTTTACAAAATTAAGCTTCACAACATGTTCTTTAGATAGGTAAACATCATATCTCATTTTCTACATGAATGAGGCACAAGCTAAGTGATGTGCCCAGGATATCACATAAAGCAGTAATAGAGTTGAAAATAGAACCAAAGAAGTCTTGACACCCGTGTGCAAACCACTGGGCGATGGTTCCCTCCCATATGTCAGGAATAGTGATCTGTTGAATTATGAGCACAGTTACAATAATGAGAGCTTTAGCTACAGCTTAGGAGGCTTTTAGTGGTTGAAAACTGCATGTGAATACACATTAAAGAGTAATTATACACAAAGAAAATGGGAATCTAGCAGCAGAATGGAAGTTTCCTGTTGAAACATGTTTTTATATAATGTGAACTGAAGTAGCTTTACTTTTCTGTGAAAATATATTCTGATCAGAGGCACGACAGGATTTGTTCTTAAACATATAGTCTTAAATTACAGTTCTGGATCAGTCTTCACTGTGTTTAAACAATTACTTTTGCCCTTTGATATTTTTTTTTAATATAGGGTTTTATATGATGGGAAAGAGAGATTAATACAGGGCTGTGAAATCATTCAAGCCACTCCATCTGGTCGTCCTGCAAACATTAGTGGCAGTGCCTCATCACAAAGAGTATACATCACTTACCGAAGAGCCTCCGAAAATATGACCCAAAACACCTTGGCTGTCACAGATATATGTATAATTATACCGAGTAAGGGAGAGAGCCCTCCACATACATTCTGCAAGGTTGACAAGAATCTTAATAACAGTATGGTAAGATTACATGTCTGGATTTGTTCAGTTAACATTTAACGCTTTAATGTTTATAGAGAATTTATACCAAGAATCTTTGAGAGACACTGGTGAATAATTGAACTGATTTACCTCTAGCAAGTAATTAAAAGGTGTTTTTGGAAGGGGGTAACATTTCCTTTGTCCCTATGTGGGAATGTCTAAAAATGCTGGATTATATACACCTTTACCTCGATATAACACTGTCCTCGGGAGCCAAAAATCTTACCGTGTTATAGGTGAAACCGCATTATATCAAACTTGCTTTGATCCACCAGGGTGCGCAGCCCCGCCCTCCCGGAGCGCTGCTTTACCGCGTTATATCCGAATTCGTGTTATATCGGGTCGCGTTATATCGGGGTAGAGGAGTATGTTGATTTCAGTAGGCTTTAGGTCAGGCCTTAGAGTACAGTCATGTACAACTGTATAGCCATGTGCAGACATGGAGGTATGTAGTGAGTTTTCCAACACAGTTACCCACCCTCAAAGTAGAATGGGATTTCTAACTCTGAGAACTGTGCTTCTCTAGCAGTTTCACTAGCACTATGCTCAGAAGAAAATCTTGTTCCACATAGTTCCATGTTAGACTACTGCTAGCAATAACCGTGTTGGAAAATTTTTATTAGCAGTTTTGATCCCCATTTGGGTAGAGGCTCTGTTTAATTACCTAAATAAGACAGGATTCATTAATCAATTCAAGAACTGAATTGAGTCTTTATTTCTGCCAGTTTACAAATATTTAAGAAGAAAAAAGTCACTAGCTGAATTAAAAAAAAGGAGATTATGTATTATATATTCATGGTTCTGGTCATGGATGCCAGCCACCTTTCTCTATAGGTGCTAACTGATGTCTAAGTCTGGCATAATGTTGGTGAGCACGCCAATATTATGGTTATATTTTAATTTAATATTTAAACTGCAGCTTGGCAAAATTAAAAAAGCTGCCTTAGTTGTTCAGTAAATCTTCTGTTCCTGAGATGAGTGAAAATTTGACAGTGTCTTCATAAAAGAATGCCAAAGTTTGTGACTGTGTGGATAAAGCGAGTGGTGAATGTGGAACACTTGTAAAGGGATGAAAGCATACTGCTTCTATATCTATTAATCTCTGTTACTCAGCTAAACAGCTGCATACTTTTTTTATTTAACTTGCAGACTGAATACTGTTTGGTATATGTTACTATTAAGTTCTTATTATTGTTAGTTTATTGTGCAGAAAGGCACTCAGACACCACAGTGATATGCATGGTGTAAAGATAGCTGTTGATATATTTATTTATAATTATTTTGATTTGGGGGGGGGATCTTGTATGTGGTGTATGTTCTGGATAGTAGTAAAGAGAAAAAACAATTTCATGGACTTTACAAAAAAGAAAAATAGGTTATTCTGGGCGTACCAACTTTGACAGTGTCTCTTTAATAAAAGATGAGCTTATTTATTGCTTAATGTTGCAGAGGTAAACTCTCTCTGAGTAGTGTTTGATCCTTTTTGGGGCAGCTGCTTCAAAGAATGACACTCAGTTTCTGGATTAGAAGAGAAACACTGCTGTTTTGATAGTTGATAACTATTTGAAGCTTAAATTAATAAACTGTCAGCAGACTGTTAACTTTCTGAGTCTAAGTCATTATGCTGCTTAGTCTACTGTTTCATGTTGTGGCTTGTGGTCAGGCAATTTTCCTTCTTTTTTTTCCACGTGAGAACTTTCTAATGGCTTGTCTACACTGCGCCAGGCATCTGATTTGTAGTGTGTTGGTCTCTAACTGCCCCGTGTAGACTTTGCTGGTGCCTTCTAAAAGATACCTAGTTCGTGTTCACGTAGTCCCATTTCAAACAGGACAACATTAACAGAAACTAAGTGGCTTTTAGAGCGTGCCAGCAGGGTGTACACGAGGCAATTAGAGTGCAGTGCGGTAGTGCGTTTTACAAATCACAACCCTCTATCACACTTTGCTGGGCCATGTAAACAAGCCCTCAGGCTTCATGTAGGTTGATGTTCAGGGCTTGATCCTGCTCCCATCAGTGGACATTTTGTCATTCGTTTCAATTGGGCATAGGCTCAGTCCCTTAAATAGTAGCTAACAGTGCAGAAACAGCTCCAGCAGGTGTGTAAGAGCCAAACATACTGGGTTTTGTTGTATGCTGTATCCACTCTTTACTCTGAAGACAGAATGCTGTGATCAGGTTTTCAAAAATGTTTTAAAATTATGCCTCCAAATTTTGCATATATGAAAATCCATGTTTGAGCATGCAGATTGGATAGGCACATAAAGATGGGGTTTCATGTGCTGAAAGGCTTTTTATTATTTTTAAATGTGACCTTTGTTTCACATTGTGATCCTCCTGTTGCCCTGCATGATATATGTTGGTATGACAGCAAAGAAATACTTAAAAGCAGTTGATTCTGAAAGAGCTGATGGTTACACATCTGTGTAAGACCGTACTTTCCACTCCTATTAGAGGAAGTGAGTATTAGTTTCTTGATTGAGGAAATACTGGGTACCAGCGCCCATATTACAGATACAATATTACAGTCTTAAACATGGACCAATGAATATGTAACAGGAAAGATGACTGCTAAAATTTGAGTATAATGTGGCTTTCTTTGTGTTGTGAATAATCAGCATGTAGGGTCAAGTAATAATGGCGGAAAACATGCATACAGGTCTGTCGCATCTTACGCGCATTTAACATGCACGATTTCAACTTTACGTGGTCGGCAAAAACAAAAAATAAGAGAAAAATAACAATTTTAATACTATACCAGTAGTGCGTGCAATTCCACCCGCCATTGAACTCAATGGAATTTTGACTATAAACAGTTTTCATTTTACACGCTAACCGCGGAACAGAACCCCTGCATAAGAGGAGACAGACCTGTACTTGGTATTAAAGGGACACTGTCAACTTGAAATCTTGTCAGTTTCGAGTTTAAAAGTAGTTTCTCTGAGCCCATTGCCAATTTTTGTGGTTTTACCGACATTTCCTGTTCCTTTTTGTTTGTTTTTTTTGTTTTTTTCAGTTTCTCTTCTCTACTGCTGTTTGGGGGGGGGAAAACCCACACAAACAGGCAAATAATATTGACTCTGTACACTGAATGTTATCATATGCAAAAAAAACCCTGAAAAATCAGACATTTTTTCTGATCTCTGTGCTAAAGTAATTTATTGGTATTACTTTTAACAGTAGCAGATCTTTAAAAACATTACTTCTGGGTTTTTTTTAATTGATTGTCCCTTTAATTCTCAATGTTGCCTTATCGACTGAAATTTATTAAAGAACAGATATTTTAAAATTGCTCCTTTAGTTCTACCAAAGTCACTCTGTCGACTTTGCGTAGTTGACACTTAAATGTCCAGTGAGCTAACTTGCATGCGTCCTCCCTTTCCTCCCTGGAAGATTTTCTATGTTCTGCATACATTCATTAGCAGACCTGGCTCTTATTTCTAAGGCCTTCCCATTTAGGAGTTGGGGCATGAAAACACTTTCCTTTAAGTGAAAAGTTATAATTATTGTGGCTTAAAAATCACTACCAACAAGAGAACTAGTGTTGTTTGAAAATTGTAAAATATTATGACATTTGTGCTGAAAATGTTTCACAGAGTGTGAAATTACAGGTTAAGTGGAGCAAGCCTGTTAAGACTATGCGTCAACATGATTAGTGGAAAAGCTAGCAGAGAAAAATCTATTACTTTATGGGTCAAATCATGCTATTATACTGACTCATGTGAGTAGTTCCCACTGAAATCAGCATGACTGTCAGTGTGAGTAAAATAGCATAATTGAAGCCAAGAGTTTAGCAAAAGGGATCAGACCTGCGTCTGGGTACCAAGAATATCTAGAGTTTTATAGTTAATGCTAAACAAAATTAGGAAGGGGTATTAAACCGCATGCTTTGACCCTTAAGCCAATTTCTAACTATAAGAGATAGGAGGAGACCTAAAATGAGGGGCAAATTCTCTCACATGTGCTCCTGTGTGGTCCTTACACCTTCCTCTAAATTGTCTGCTACTGGCCACTGTCAGAAATGGAATACTTGATTAGATGGACCTTGGGTCTGATCTAATATGGTAATTCCTGTGTTCCTAGCACTACTCTATGAAAGATAACGAGTTGTGAGGAGTCCTTCCCTAAACTAGTTCTTTTCTCTGTTTCATTTCTTTTTTTTACACCTTGTCAAGTAAATCAATAAGAATGTGTTGACTTTTGTGTTGTTTTTTACAGTGGGGCTCAGCAGTATACCTATGTTACAAAAAGTCTGTGGCAAAAACCAATACCATATCATATAAAGCTGGTGAGTAATTATTTTATAGCTTTGTTGCTCTCTTAAGTTACTGATATGGACACTCAGCCATACCTTCATCTTGACAGAGTTTTGTGTGGGAATTATTTATCTAAATACAGGCATTGTCTTTGGCACTGTAAAAAATATAATAAGCCTCTGACCCAAAGAGCTTTCTAATAAAAAAAAAAAAACCAGAGTACTGTCTTGTACCATTATGTCTTTCATTTTAAAAAAATCTGTATTTAAATATAGGCTTAGTCATCTTTGTGTGTGTTTCTTTTTAATTCATTGTAGTGCTCTCAGTCTTACTGTAAATTCCCATTTCTATTGCAGAATATGGCAAAGGTACTGTAATTACCTTTTGGGTTTAAAACCAGGCCCCATGGAAATCAATGGCAAAACTCCCATTGACTTCAATGAGGTCAAGATTTCACCTGATGTTTTGTAATAGTCTTGTAATTTTATTTAATAAAACATAGTTGATTTTTCATTTTGTCATGAACCCCTCCTACTGTAACCCTGAGTGCATATACCAAGACTTTTTGACCATATCAGAATAAATGAACTCAATTCTGAAATATTTCTTTCACATTCACACTGCCTGTGGCAGAAGTTGAAGGGAATAGAAGAGGCTTATGTAGTGCCCTAAAGGTCAGCTGGCTTGAGATCTGTTTAATTATACCGTATTTTGAAACTTCCTGTTTTGGGGAGGAAATATAATTCACTGAGGGCCTGATGATGCATGGGGATAAGCATCCTTGTTTCCCACTGAAGTCAGCATTAGATGGGAGTGATTTTCACCATGCAGAACTAGGTCTTAAATGCATTTGTGTTTTTACCGGGATGTGGTAAGAATATGCCCCACGTATGCTAGTGTAGGTTAGGGCTCTGGCTAATAGGTACTTACTAATGTAAAAAAAAAAGATACATTTTTGTGCCTCTAGTAATAAATTTACACAGATTTTTTTGTATATATAAAACACAAATGCTTTCCTGTTAAATTTGATTGAAGGAAAATATTCTTTGCTAATTTACAGTGCATTATACTTCCTGAGACTAGCCTTGTATTATAGGGTTTCATGTTTCTCTAGAACACCAGTTCTCAATTGTTTCCTGTGACCCCCAAATGCTCCCAACTGTCTAGTAATAGGGAAAGGACAGGTGGTTGCAACTCCCTGACACCTGTTCAGAACCCCCAGGCTGAAAAACCTTTGCTCTAGAACTTGATGTATTTTGAAGTTGTAGCTAGAAATAAAAATGGTTAGTCTCATATATCTTAAAAACTTAGAGTGAGATCCTCAGCTACTGTAGATCAGCATGACTTTATTGAAGTCAATGGAGCTATTCCCATTTATGTCCCCTGAAGAGCTCTCTGGCTTTTAATTACCATTAAAGTTTATATAAAGTTAATATAATTACCATTAAAGTTTTTTTCCCTATATATATTTTTAAACACATTGTTAAATCTTACTAGAAGACTAACTTTTATTCAAAGACTTATTACCTTTATTCATCACATTCAGGTTTTTTTTTTCTTTGTGGATCTGAAATTTAATTTGTTCATTGATATTTGTGATAAAAATTGTATAATATTCATAGATGAAAATGTACTTAAGCCTGTAGGTATGGAAAAATAAATTAATAAGATTGTTTACTGTGTAGTACCTAGAGACTCAAATAATTCATAATATTGTGCTTAGCCATGTGATTCCTGTTCTTTGGAATTGTGCTGTTAACCTGATAATCATACGGTAGGCCTGACATTTTGAAACTTCTTCTAGATCTGCTGACGTGAATTTGTACTTTTATATAATTAATGTGTTAGTGTGAAATCCGTTCATATATACACACACTCACACACTTCTAACATAGGATTTGTTCTGTAACTGCCTTTTTAACAATTGCTTTAATAGGTTTAATATGCAGATATCCTGAAGAAGACTATGAGTCATTCCCATTACCAGAATCAGTGCCTCTTTTTTGTCTACCCATGGGTGCATCTATTGAGTGTTGGCCATCTAACAGTAAATACCCCCTTCCAGTTTTTTCTACATTTGTACTAACTGGAGCTTCGGCTGAAAAGGTATTGGAAAAAACTTAACAAATATTAAATTTTGTGTATTTTTTTTTTATAACCTTGAATAGTTAATGTTCAGAAAAGTAACCGATCATAAGCACAAGAAAACTACATCAGTAAAACATTTTGTTACACAATTTGACATTTGTTAGAGTGATAATAAAAGACACTTCACCCAGATAACTAAAAAAACCTTGAATCCTGTTCTTTAAGAGCTTGACTGAAAGACTATTAAAGACAACAGTGGGTCTTTCTGTTGACTTCAATGGGTTCTGGATCAGCCCCTAAAACAAAATTCCCTTCCTCCCCCTTTTTCAATTACATTAGTGTGTGAAAACAGAAATCTAAAAGAGAGTAAAGTAAATTTGCATGGATGCAGCCAGGATTTTCATATTGTATGTGTCACATAATATAAGATGGATTTCAGGAGAGCTTTATTGAAGAGTTGTGTCTACTACTTTGAGTTGCTTATAGAGCAGCCCAAAAGGTAGCTTAAATGTCAGTGACAGAGACAGCTGTACTCTGTATCATTATTTCCTTGTCTACCCTAAGAACAGTTTTTAACTTTGCCTTTTCATATATGGCTTTATATTTGTTTTTTTAAATTCATTTAAAAGGGTCTGGTTCATATGTGATCATAAGAATATTTTTAAAGAAATTTCAGAAGATACATATGTCCAATTTATCACACTATAGAATACTCTTGATTTGCTTGCAACTTTAGGATATGTTGGCTTGCTTTAAAGATTTAGGCAGATGTACGTAGCTGTAATCAAATATATTATTTTTTGCAGGTATATGGTGCTGCTATTCAATTCTATGAACCATATCCTGAGGAGAATCTCACAGAAAAACAGAAATCTCAGTTAGGGTTAGCAACTACTGGAGATGGAAAGTCAGATAATTCCAAAACAGTTCAGACTAACAAATGCATTTGTCTGCTCTCTCACTGGCCTTTTTTTGATGCTTTCAAGAAGTTTCTTACCTTTCTTTATCGTTATTCCATCTCTGGTCCTCATGTCCTCCCTATTGAGAAGTAAGTTATTTCACAGAAGAATTCTTGCTGATAATTCAAGTTGTTGTGAATTTTCCATGTTTCTTCGATAATTGATTAGACTTTTTGTTATATTAAAGTATTTTGTGTTTAATTCTCAATTCTGCTATTATAGTGAATCAAATGCTCATTTTTCCCATGGATAAACGTATCTCTTTGATGTACTCTTTCTTTAAAAACCTCTTTTTTGTTTTTAAAATGTATTTTATCTCCTATCTACGTACCACTTAAGCCATTCATTTCTTTTTAAGATTGTCTAAGTGGCTCCAGGATCTTTAAACATTTTGTTTAGGAGAACAAAGATTATAAACCCTTTGTGCTATTGTCAGATACAATTGGTCAAAAAGATTATAAAAATGCTTATTCACATGTGCATGTTTAGGAGGATAAAGGAGTTAGTTTTATAATATCTTTGGCCCTTTGGAGTGAGTAATCTGTCAAACTCAATTCTAACACAAGTGAGAATAATCCTTAGCTGTTTAAAGTGTGATATGACTCCCTATACCTAATAATAGTAATATCTATAATCTGAATGAAGATTAAGCCTTGATCTACACTTAAGTTATGTTACTGTAGCCGCATTGGTAATTGGTGTGAAAAAACCACCCCTGACTGACATAACAGTTCTGACAATCTCCAGTGTAGACATGTCTATGTCGATGGCAGGAGGGCTTCTTTTGATGTAGCTAATATCTTTTGGGGAGGTGGTGTTCCTACACTGACAGAAAAACTCCTGTCAGTGCAGGCTGCATCGCAGTAGGGAGCTATGCCAGCATGGCTATGCTGACATAGCCATCATAGGCTAACATGGGCTCTATAGTGTAGGCATACCTGAAGGAGACACTTTTAGGCCAGGCAAAGTGTACAGCACAACAGAAAATATTGAAGCTGAGATCTTCTTTGTTCTTTTAAATGGAGTGTAGTTGTAGCCATGTGAGTGCTAGGATATTAGACAGACAAGGTGGGTGAGGTAATCTCTTTTATTGGACCAAGCTTTCAAGAACTTGTCTCTCTCACCAAGAGAAGTAGGTCCAATAAAAGAGATTACCTCACCTGCCTTGTGTCTCAGATTTTTTAAAGGTATTTAGACACTGTTCCTCTCAGCATTGCAACATCCAACTGACTTAAGTTCTTAAGTTCTATTTTCAAAAGTGACTTAGGCACTCAAGTCTCTTCAGCTTCTAACTGCGTAAGTCGGTTTTGAAAATAGAACTTATGAGCCCCTCAGTCAGTTGGGTGTTGCAATGCTGAGCAGAGCAATTCAGGTATCTTTAAAATCTGTGCCTGTGCCTGTATATGCACCATTTTTTTTTCAATTAAACTTCAATGTAATTTTATAAAATTATTAATGTAAATATATTTCTCACAGTTTAGGGTAACTGCACCTGTATTCCCCCTCCGTGGTTCCTTGAGGGCACCCACTTGGGTGGTTTCTGTCTTGGGTGGAGACCCACGTCTCTCTCCTTCCTGACTGGGGCTTTTAAGGATGCACAGCTCCATGTCTACACTGTGATATCCCCAGCAAGCCAGTTTACCTATAGGCCAGTACCTGTGCTTCGCTTTCTCTAAGAGCGCTATTAACAGTTTTGCCAGCTCTTACAAGTTACCACTCAGCTCTTTCTAAGCAAATACATTTATTCTTAAAGTAAAATCATTACAGAGAAAACATAATAACAAACAGATTTAAATACACACTAAACCTAACAGGAGTCACCCATCAGTCTTATGGGACCCTAGTAGCTAAAGTATTTCCAACTGTTCTGCAAAGGTCGGGACCCCTCTTGGACAGAAGGTCCTGCCCTGTGGCAGTTTAAATGCAGCCTTTTTATACCAAAATCCATTTATTTGTGTTAGCCTCTGAGAATAACACCGATGAAGCTCTCCCATTGCTAATAATAATAGGAAATCTCAGTACAGTATATGCGTTAGTTTCATGTGCAATATGGAGACAAATGAATCTGAAAATTCCAAGTATTTTTGTGAAATACATAAAACTCTTACAAGCTCTTTCAGAATTTTCTATTTCCATTTTGAACAATTTCCAGGATTGCAAAGTTTAAAAAAATTTACAGTTTAAAAAAATTAATAGATTTATAGTCATGCATTTGACAAGACAATGTCCTACTTTTTTTTTTTTCCTGTCACTGATCTTTAGGTACAGTTTGTGTCTGAAAGCTTGAAAATAAGCAGAAGTTCATTAACCTCATGGTTTTACCTAATGTTATTGTGCAAGAATAATTTGCAAATGGTTTTAACAAAGTAAACAGACTAAAACTATGACACTGATATCTAGCTAGTCTCTAGGGTTGCCAGTTTTGGTTGGACGTATTCCTGGAGGTTTCATCACATGACCTCTTTAATTAAAGATTAATCTTAATTCCTGGAGATTCCAGGACAGTCCTGGAAAGTTGGCAACTCTACGATAGTCGCTGAAAAGTGACGGTATAAAAATGATAATATAGATTTCAAGATCAAATATTTTTAGTTTACAAATGGAAAGATTTTTGTAACTGCCAGCTTGCAAACTCAATCCTGGAGTCTGAAAGATGCCCTGAGTTGCTGTCATCTTGCACACTAACATCAGCAATATAGGTTCTGAAGGCCAAATTACACCCTCTGTGATGCTTGTGTAATCCCATTGCCTTCAGTGGGCTTGCACAAGTGTAAGAGAGTGGTTCTTTGGTTGGAATTTTATAACCAGGTGAGTTGATTCACAAGAAGGAATTAATACAAGAGTTTTCATTGCATAAAGGTGTTCAAATACCTCAATGATCAGGATATAAGAACCTAAATTGAATCTACTTCATTCTGTTGGCTCTGTAGTACTAACAAGAGTAATAAATATCAACAATTTATGTTCGTCATTCAAATAAGCAAATATGACTGAATATATTCAGGGAGCCAATGTACTGAGCAAGATTGTGCCATTTTATATTGCCACTTTTCATGTTGCCTGCAATAAGCGCTTGAAGTGATGTACAGCATTTCACAAAGAGTTTTCAAATAGTGATTTCTATTATGTTTAAAGTTAGTATTTTCTTTTTCTTCAGACATATTTCACATTTTATGCACAAAGTTCCTTTTCCATCCCCTCAGAGACCAAGAATTTTAGTTCAGGTAAGTTTAAAATCTTTCTTGCCTATCTACAGTATCGGTCATTTTATACGGCTGCTTGTATGTGGAAAATATAGTACAGTTTTCTTTAAATATTCATATAAAAAAGAAGCAACATCTACAGCCAAATTCACAAATATTTCACACTTAGAAATAATTGATGTTGCATGTTTCCAGTTTAATTTAGGACTATAATAAAATATTTTCTTAGGCATTATATTTCATGAGGCATATTTGATTTTGTACTTTAAAAAAACAAAAAAACCCTATGTGCTAGTTAAGGGATAAATTGCAGAAAGCCAGGACAGCTATGCGAGTCTCTCATAGTTCTTGAAATATTTTCTTCTTTTTATTTTATTCAGCTTAAACAAAAGTGAGATCTGTAGGCTAGACCTCTGGAGTATGTTCTTCATGACTACTTTTTTTTCAAAGGGCCTTATTCTGCCCCCTGCATGTGTATGGTTCCCACTGATGCATACAAGAGTTATGCACATTCAAGAGGCACAATTTATGAAACTTACGACTATGGCTACGTTTTAGTCATGGATATTTTTTAGTAAAAGTCATGGACTGGTCACGGGCAGTAAACAAAAATTCATGGCCCGTGACCTGTCCATAACTTTTACTATATACCCCTGACTAAAACTTGGGGGATAGGGCTCCATGGGTGCTGGGAGGGGGGCGGGACTGGGGCAGACCTGGGGCAGACTCCTTACCTGGCTCCTGGGAAGCGGCGACCTCCAGCTCCTAGCTCCATGTGCTGCCTCCACTCCACCCCAAACTCCGTCAGCACCATCAAAGGGAAAGCTTGAATCTGAAGTTGGCATCTCAGGTTGGCACCTAGGTTACCAAACCCTGGAGCTGTACTATTCCACTTCTAGGTGTTTCTATCCAGGGTTACCTTGAGATCCTGCAGCTGGAATCAGATCAGGCAGGTGGCCAGGGAGTCCCTTGGACCCAACACCTGCCCAGTGGCCTTTTGGAAGCTATGGAGATTCCTCTTAGTTTCCAGGTCCTACACAAGTTATTCCTGCTCTGTGTCCTAGGGGAGACATGGGGACTATACTCACCAGGTGCCATCCGTTTGTGAGTCCGGTACTGGGCCTGGCACTGAGCAGGAAGAAGTGGTTCAGGAGGAGCTTGCTGAACAGTTAACAGAGGAAGGACAGCTTCAAACTGTGCTGACTTCATTGTCTTCCTCCCCTGTTGAGGCAGTTTCCTTGGGAGGCATCTCACCCCCTCCAGCCGATTGTGGAGCGCAACAAGAGCTATTGAAGAGGGTTGCCTCAGGTTTTGGGGATCCAGATGGAGGTGGTTAGGGAGTCTTCCCATTGCCTCATTGACATTTTGGCTACTACCAGGCCATTGCGGGTGACCTTACCAATTAATAAGGCAATTTTGGAGCCTGTTAAGTCAATATGGCAGACTCTTTCATCCCTTTCTCCCACCTTAAGAAGAGCTGAAGGTAAATATTATGTTCCTTCCCAGGTTTTTTCTCCATGAGAGGTCTTGAGGACTCCTGTTTTTTCCACCAATTTCCCTGGTCCTCAGGATAATGTCAAGGATTCAGGAGACAAAGCTATGGTCATCATAAAAGTCCCTTGCTGACTGTGCAATTTTATCTGTTGGTCCGGCTGCAGCTCTCCACGCGACCTCTCCTTCACCTCCTGGCCTGCCCAGACATAATATCTCAGAATCAAATTCTGATCTCCTCATACAAAGCAGAAAATCCTCCACTAGGAAGACTTATGCTTAAAGTAGAAGAGATTTTTTCCCTTTGGGCATTTATCAAGGGAGGGAGGGAGTGTTTTGGTGTCCATGCCCAGCAATACCGCCTAGCAGTGAGAGTGTGTGTCCGTGTCATCCAGTGGCAAGGGTCAATGGCCAGGGGTAGGGGAACCCGGACCCTCCCTGCTCCACTGGGTTCTCACCCAGGGCCCAATGAAATGATGATTCAAAATGTGTGGCATAGGGGGTGGGCACCCCCATGCTTACTCCCTGGGCTATTTCCTACTCTAGCTTTGGTTCCTCTGCTGGTGCCATTGGTTTACTGTTGAGTTCCCTCCAAGTGTCCTCTCTGGTCGTGATCTGGAGGGTCTTCCTCTCTCAGTTGGGGTTCGTCATTGCCATCCTCCATGGTTGAAGGGCCTGTTGTGGCTTGGCAGTGGGGCCTGGCCCCTGCCATGTGGGGCCCCAGCAGTTTCTTGGCAGGAGCCTACATCACATAACTGCTCTCCTTCTCGGACCACCTAAACTGGGCTGAGCTGCTCCCCTTTGAGCTCAACCTCCATTGTGTGCATGCGCAGCAGGGGCGGCAGGGTGTGGCTTTCTGGGCCCAGAGCTGCCCCTTAACCCATCCCTCACCAGAGTGGGGCTTATACATCCCATCACAGCAGCTCAGAATGATCTGGATCCAAATGAAAGCACTGCTATCAAAGATCCCGAATTATGTGCTACTCCTGAAACAAGCAGGCCTGGCATTCAATTACCTCAAGATCCACCTTACAGCAGTATCAACATGGTATGCACTCATGTGTTCTCAGTCTTTTCACACCCAGCGGTTAACAAAATTCCTTAAGGGCTGTCTCCATATTTTAATTTCCAGTCAGAGACTTGGCTCCCTCATAAAACCTTAATATTGTCCTTCTGAAGCTCATAGAGCCTCCATTTGGGGCACTGTCCTATTGTTTCATATACCACCATACTATCAAGGTGGTCTTGTGGCCATCACCTTAGCTCAGTCAGTGAGCTCCAGACTTTCATGGCAGAACTGTCTTATACATCCTTTCAGAGAGACAGTGGTGTTGAGACCACACCCCAGTTTTGTCTCCAAAGTGGTCTTGGATTTTTACCTGAACCAGGTGACTTCCTTGCTAACCTTCTTCTCACACTAGATGCCGGGAATGAAGAAACTGCATAACTTGGATGTATCCAGATCTTTGGTGTATTACCTTAAATGGACCAAGTTTTTCCATTAGTCTCTCTGCTCTTTGTTACCATTTCTGGTCCATTTAAAAGCCAACTCATCTCTTTACAGAGAATTTCCAAATGGATCACACAATACATTTCCACCTGCTACCAGCTGGGTGGCAAGCTTCTCCCTTCGAATATCAAGATACATAGTACCACAGCACAATCTGCATCTACCGCCTGCCTCAAAAACATTCAGATCTCTGAGATCTGCAGGGCTCCCATGTGGAGTAAACCACTGGCTTGTGTGAAACCCCGTGCCCTTGACATGGGATGCCAAGTTTGGGAGAGCAGTACTTCAATCATTGTTTGACTGATTCAGTTGATATTCCTCATTCCCACCATCCAGAGGGGATATTGCTTGCCTGTCACCTACAGTGGGATCCACATTGACACATACTCGAAAAAGGAAAAATAGTTACTTGTCCTATAGTAACTGTGGTTCTTTGATATGTAGTCAGTGTGGATCTTGTGACCTGCCCCTCCTTTCCACTTTAGGAGTCCTTAGTTAGCCTTTGATTTGTGAAGGAACTGAGGCAAGGTCGCAGCTACTCTGCCCTTTATACTCTTGCATGAGGAGGCATAGAGCATGTGCCTGGCCCCAATGGACTGTGCCACACAAAACAAATTCTGATTTTGTTTGGATGTGCACCTACAGTGGGATCCACAGTGACTACAACATCGCGAAGATCCGCAGTTACTGTAGGTAAGTAATTGTTCTTTTCTGGCAGTGTAGTTCCTGAGTTTGATTACTGAAAGATACACTTCATATTTTATATATAGGGTAATATAATAATGAAAATAATCTTCCTGTCTTCATTTTGAGTACATGTATGGTCTCTCTTGATGCCATCGTTGAAGTCTTTGAAAAGAGGATAAATGTATTAATAAATTCTTGGGTCAGATCCTCAGCTGGTGTAACCTGTCTTAGTTCCAATAAAATAAATGGAGTTGAACTGATTTACACTAGCTGGGGATCTGGTTCTCTTTTCTTATAGAGAAAATGATACTTTGAAAAATGTCTTGTAGTATCTGAGCTGTGGCTCCTCACTTATCCCAGAATATTAATGAATTGGAGCGTTAATAAACTTCCATTGAGTTGTTATGCAATGTTTTCATCCCTTTTTTAAGATAGGTAATGTGATGGATCAGCTTTCTGTTTAAGTGCAGGAGGCAGAGAAAAAGTGTCACCTATGACTTATCTATAAATAAAACATAATGAATGATGATTTTGCATGTTATTGCTTCATTATTTTACATATGCCTGAACTACATAATGTTTAATATAGACTTTTTTTTAAATGTTCAAATTATAATTGACTGTTGTACAATTTCTGTAAAATATTAAGGTCCAAAATAAAAAGTATATATGATTTTTTTTTATAGCTATCGCCACATGATAACCTGATTCTTAGTCAGCCAGTGTCATCACCTCTACCACTGAGGCAAGTAGAACAGCTCTGTTTAATTGTGAAACATACCTTGATCCATTAGTGACATGAAGCTTTAAAGCTTCGAAATTTGAAGTAATTTTAAGTCTACTAAATTTTGTAATTGATGTATCTGGCAGTGATTTGATTTTTTTTTTCTTTAACCAATTGGCTGTTTTATAAAGCCATGAATCTTAAGTCTTCATATTTTATAACTGTATCTGAAGTATTGTAAGTCACTCTTGCAACAATAACAAAAAGGTGTATATGTATTTTGGTACTTCATATTTAATCCTTCTCTCAAGATAGTTTGCCTTATTTTTTTAAAATCTCACTTGCTACTGCAGAAACCTCATAGTCCATACAGCTTATGAAAATCGTATGTTTTTTATATATATGGATAAAGTTCTTAAATGGGCTTTAATATCAGGCATAAGTTCCTGATTTAGTCAAAAAGTAGGTGGCCAATCAGTCTGAAAAGAACACAGAAGGTTAACTTTTTTGCACATTGAATTTTCTGTTCTGTTCTTGTTTGGTTTCTCTTTATAATATTTAATAGGGCCAAAATTCAAAAATCTTCCTATCTGATGTGTCCATTGCAATCCTAGATTTTCATTTTTGACCAATAATCTCTTAAACATTTTACCTACACAAAACTTGCCCTAGAGAGCTGGATTCTGAGTGTTGTCTATGGGCTTTTGCTTTTATTTGGGCTTTGTTTTAATGTTGGCTTTAGAATCATTATTTAGCTATTCCCCATGTTGCTGTAACAGAAAGTTTATATGCTGTGTACTCAAACCTGAATGGTTGGGAGCCATAAAAACACAAGCCTGTTTGATAGGGAGTCAGACGCACCCAATACTTTTCTATCAGTAATTACTTTTCTGGCAGATTTTATCCTAAAATGAAGGTGGTTTTGTGCACAGTTGCTGACAAATGAAATAGTCTCCATCTGCAGCTGCATTTTGCCCCCTCTTCCCCCCCCCTTGTATCAAATATCTCCAACCACTAGTGTGAGAGGAGTAATCTGGTGAACAGAAGGAGCAAAATGAAGTAGAGTTCAGGATGCAGAGAGAGATCTGTGTTGTAGCTGCAGTAATGGTAAAGGTGTTTGCTTGTGTGTGGAGTGTATGTACTCTTAGGTAGCTTAACTTTTCACTTCCTTGCTTTTGTGGGTTTATGTCAAGTAAGTGTGTGTGTGTGTGTATGTGAACCCTAAGTGCTTCACAACAAAGTTATATGTATTTATTAATTCATATATTTATTTTATGTAAAATATATAATTTTTTCTAAATATTCATTTAAACAAAAATAGTCCATACTTTTTATATGACGAATAAACATGCTGTTAATATTGAATGTTAACTCACATGAAGAATTCATTTTTGACTGGGGGAGATAAAGATGTATATTGTTGTATAGTCCATGAAGAGCAGTTAGCAAGGTGAGAACTTTCTTTCTAGTAGAATAGCATTCACATCATAGCTATGTGATTGTAGCACAAACCTGAGGAACTGAGCATTTCCCATTATATTGAAGGGCAAATCACTAGACCCTCCGGCATTTGTTAGAGAATTACAGAACAGTTTCATAAATGTCACTGTGTCTGGGTATTAAAGTTTTCTTTAATGTCTGGGAAATATCAACACACTAATTCCAAGTATTCGTCACACATTTTAAAGTACTCTGTAATCTGAAGACATTGGTTAGATTCGTATTCCATTAAGTAAGACTATATTGTATGTAAAGCAGCTTTTATTATTTCAGCTTTTTAGTGAAATAATTTGACATCCTTTGAGCGTGTCAGTGTGGATCCCACTGTAGGTAGGCACGTGCCTCATGAGCATGAGATAAGAATCTTTTGAATAGCCCTGTGTGTCAGGGCCCACATTTGCCCTGTGTTTCATCATGTGCCCATGTCTAGGCATAAAAGGCAAGTGCAGCCTTGACCCTCCTTCAGTTACCTCTTGCTGCCACTGGCAGAGATGGAACTTAGTGAATATTCAACCCGCTTGTCATTCATTCTGGCTAAGCTCTTCAGAAATCTTCCGCACTCTCATCTGTTTGCTCTAGGAAACAACAACAAACAAACATGACCCATCAGGACTTATTCTTGGCAGTTAGACCACCTCCCCTGTAGGGTAATGGTCTTAAGACCTATCCTTTCTGTGATGGACTAGCCCTGTTAACAGATGTACATATCAGATGTCTCTTCTGCTTGGTTGAGAGCCACATACCAGACAGATGCTTGGTATGTTAACACCTTTTTCCAAGATTCTCAAGTCATGCGAAGCTCAACTGAAGTGCTGCTTGCTAGAGCAGTCTATGAGAGGGTCTTCGGACCTTGAGGAGTCAGGTACCAGATCCAACCAGGTATTGGAGAAAATTACATCCATGAGTGCCCCCCTTCAATAGACATGCAGAGCTCAAAGCCAGCACTTTGCCTGTTGCCCCTGAACTCTGGCTAGGTCAGTGTACTCCCTGTCCAGACAGCACGTGAACAAGCGGTCACAGTCCCACCTCAAGTCCTGCAAAAGCTGAGATGGTGGCTAGATCCTGAGAAAGCATGAAAGGAGTTCCATTCTTGATTCCCTCTCTGAAAATGACTTGTCACAGACCCACCAGGAACGGCTTGGGGAGCCCACCTGAGCCATCTGCAGATGCAGGAGTTCTAGTCCCAGGACATCTTGAAACTCCATTTAAGCCTTGCAGAGCTCAGGGTTATCAAGACTGTTTTGTATGGCATTCCTGCTTGTTCTATGGAAGTCCAAGGTGCAGAGATCAATTGACAATACATCTGCAATGCACTACATAAGCAAGCAGATGCTCAGTCATCAGCCTATGGATATGGGCTCATCACCCTGGCATAGCCCCATTGACTCGGAACCTTCAAGGAGTCACAAATCGCCTAGCAGACTTGAGCAGACATTCAGTCACCAACTAGGAGTGGTCCCTGCAGAAGTCATCATAGAAGGATCTTTGATCAGTGGAGGGAGTCTTGCAAAAGGCCTTTACTCCACCAAAGACAACAGCAACTATTTGAACTTCTGCTCCAGAGGCAGCATGAGCCTGAGTTTGTAGCCAGATGCCTTCCTGCTATAAGGGACTTAAGCCCTCCTTATATGCCTTTCCTCCCATCATCTAACCCCCAGGTTGATATTCAAGATCATATGGGACAAGGGCCGTGTTGATCCTCAGTGTTCCTTACTGGCCGATGCGGTTTTGGCTGTTGTACCTACTTCAGGTGTTTGTTCACCCCCCCCCCCCATTCATCTCACAGCCTGCTCATACTCAAAAGCTCAGAATCATGTCAGATACTGCAGCCAGACCCATAGTCATTGCATCTGGCTGCTTGGACTTTCATCAGTTAATCATTACCAAAAGAGACAGCTACTGACAAGCTCAGGAAATTCTCATACAAAACAGAAAGTTATAGAAACAGTTTTCCACAAAGACAGCTCAGCACAATCCAAACCCAGCAGAAGCTCTGATACCAAAGACCCTTGTCTGCATGCTACACTTGAAGGATGTTGCCTAACATTTAGCTATCTGTTATTACTATCCAGTAATATTGGTGGGTCACACTCTGACACCGTTGTGTTTGGTCATCTCTCACCCAAAGATATCCAGGTCCCTTAATGGTCTTCTGCGTACCTACCCACCAGTTAGATATCTGACTCCTGCATGGGATCACAACATCATCTTGTTCTTCCTACAGCTCATGGAGCCTCTTTTTGAACTGCTGTCAAATTGCCGTTTATACCATCTTATCCTGAAAGTAGTCTTTCTGGTTGCTATTGCCTCAGCCAGAAGGATCAGTGAACTCTATGCCCTCATGACTGGTCCTCCCTGTACCTCCTTTCACAGGGACATGATGGTGCTGTGACACCATCCCAAATTCATCCCTAAAGTGATTTCAGAATTCCACCTGAACCAGTTGATTGATCTGCTTTTCTTCGTCTATGTCAGGTGTGGTTACAAGAAGGTACAGAAGCTACACACCCTGCATTTCCCCAGGCTCTACTCTATTACACTGACAGGACCAAGCCTTTCAGGCTGTTTCCTCATCTCTTTGTGGCCATTTCCAGCCTTGTAAAAGGTCAAGTTATCTTGTCACAGAGAATCTCTCTAAGTGGATCACATGATGTATTTTCACCTGTTATCAGACAGCTGGCAAATCTCTTCCTCCAAATTTTTAGGTGCGTACCACCGGAACAGGCAGCAGGATCAGCCTGCTTCAGGAATGTGCCAGTATCTGAGCCCTGGTCTACACTAGGGGGGGATCGATCTAAGTTACGCAACTTCAGCTATGTGAATAACGTAGCTGAAGTCTATGTATTTAGATCGAATTACTGTGGTGTCTTCACCGCAGTGAGTCGACTGCTGCCGCTCCCCCGTCAACTCTGCCTGCGCCTCTCGCAGCGCCGGAGTACAGGAGTTGACGGGCGAGTGCTCAGGGGTCGATTTATCGCGCCTATACTAGACGCGATAAATCAATCCCGGCTGGATCGATTGCTGCCCGCCAATCCGGCGGGTAGTGTAGACATACCCTGAGATCTGCAAGGCAGCAACAGGGAGTAACCCACTAACCATAGTCAAACATTATGCCCTTGACTTAGTGGGTAGGACAGATGCCAAGTTTGGGATTGGGATAGTGGTGCTTCAATCATTATTAGAGTCAGCTGAAACTCCTCATTGCCACCAGCCAGTGAGGATACTGCTTGCTAATCGCCTTGGTTGGGCTGCATGCTGACACATTTGAAAAAAGGACAGTTACTAACCCAACAACTGGTTTTTCAAGATGTTGTAGTCAGTGCGGATCCTCTGACCAGTCCTTCATCTCCACTTTGTGGAGTCCTTAGCAGAACAGCTTTGAATCATGAGGGAACTGAGAGGGGCGTCATGGATGCCCCATCCTTTTATGCCCTTCCATAGGAGCACAAGATGCATGTGTGGCCTTGACTGACACGAGAATTCAAAAGATTCCATTCTCCTCTGCTTGAAGTGTATGTACCGTTACAGTGGGATCCGCACTATGACTACAACATCTCAACCACAATTACTGTAGGATAAGTAGGTGTTTTTTTACTGGATAGTGAAACTAAATGAAATTGCCAAGTTTTTCTTATTAACAAGAATGCAAAAAATAGAAAAATGGAAAACTAAGTTTGCAATGTGTTTACAACACCCCAGCATAAATTCAGTTATGAATTCTTTGTATTTGTTCATATTTTCAGTGCAGTATATTATAATATTTTTCTGCCTAATTGTTTGATATTCACCAATGTTTTATTTTTTGTAACAGTGGTGGCAAGTTTTCTACACTGCTTCAGAACCTAGGGCCTGAGAATGCAGTAACTCTACTTGTATTTGCTGTAACAGAACATAAAATTCTCATCCATTCCTTACGACCGTCTGTCCTTACTAGTGTGACAGAGGCATTAGTCTCGGTAAGTAGCATTATCTCTTCCTCATCATATTTTTTTAGTGAGAGAGAATATTGTTCAAATAAACTGTAAAACAAATATATAGTACTACTTCTGGGTTTGTGTTGTTTAGAAAATAGGGACCAGATTTCCCCTCTGAGATACCACAGAAGTAATTGAGGTTAAATGAGTTGAGGGTAGAATTTAACCCTATCTTTAGCTTTTGCTTATTGCAATATTGTGCCAGTCACGATCATATGTAGGCACTAAATGCACAAATTCTTTAATTTCCTAAATGGCCCCCCGGTAGGCCTATATTCTTTGTTTCTACCCTCAGAGGGCTTGTAGATGTATATTATTTTTATGTCCTTCTCACAGACCAGTGTTAGTGCCTCTACTGAGAAATGGCTAGTATGCAGAAGATTTCTGTTTTTACAGATTGAATAAACTAAAAATTAAGAAAAATTAAATTGCCTTTTTAATTGACAGCAGCTATTTAATATTAGAGTTTACAATTTCAATCATATGCTGTTACTTTTCATGTTAAATGTTTTTATAATGTGGAAAATATTCTGGGATTGTATCCTTCTATAAATGTTAGTTGAATATTATGTTTGTTTGTTTTTTAAAGATGATATTTCCTTTCCATTGGCCATGCCCATACATTCCTCTTTGCCCCTTGGCACTGGCAGCTGTGTTAAGCGCACCATGTCCATTCATAGTAGGAATTGATTCAAGATACTTTGATCTGTATGATCCCCCACCAGATGTTAGCTGTGTTGACCTAGATACCAACACCATTTCTCAGTAAGTATTTATTACTGATTTTCTTGTATGGTTGTGATATTTGTTTTATTTCCTGTGGCAAAAACCTGAAAGATTCCATTTGAAGTTTGTTTTTTAGCCATTATGTTTCAATTGTGTAGCAGCATCTTAACACTATTTCTTCTATGATGGGTCTGCTTCTCTGGCCAGAAGCAACAGCTGATTGATATTTCTGTCCAATTCAGCAGAAAGGAGGCAGAGTCCTCATTTACCATCATCACTAGGCATCATCTATCGGTCTGTCTATATATAGCATAAGTAGTTAAATTCAAAACTCTGCTACACCCTAAAAATTATGGACTGAACACACAAACTGGATTTATGGCTTATTACAACAATCTGTAACACACTAACCCCTTCTTTTTTCCTATAACTGCAAAGGTCTTAATGGACCAGTTTGCCTTGAATGGTCCCTTAGACTATATGCTAACTACTTATGCTAAACCGTCTGTTCCACCTTCTAAAAACGTTAAACTGTATTACTGGCACACGAAACCTTAAATTAGAGTGAATAAATGAAGACTTGGCACACCACTTCTGAAAGGTTGCCGACCTCTGTTCTAGACATTTGCAGGCTAAATGGGGCCTGGACAGGCTAGAGAGAGAATTTGGATGTTGCTGAAACAAAAAATAGGTCTGTGTATCTTTGTGTATAAATCCAGTGTCCACGTATCGTCCACCAGTGAGAACTTTTGCACTGAAAAAATTAAGCTTGGTACAGTGCTCTGGGATAACCCATAAAGATGAGACCCTCTATTTGAGCAATATTGTCCTAAGGATAGAATTTGAATAAAATGATTCAGAATTAGAATCCTAGAATATCAGTGTTGGAAAGGACCTCAGGAGGTCACCTAGTCCAACCCCCTTCTCAAAGCAAGACCAATCCCCAACAAAATCATCATTAAAACAAACTAATACTAAGTTACTCTAAAAAGACCTTTGGAACTATTGTGTACTTAATAAAGCTTTATATAACTTTATATAATACAAAAGTTTTAAGACAAAAATCAGAAGGAAGCAGTGTTCGTCAAATATCAAGTTAAATATGTATGTAGGTCATAAATTTTAAGAATAGTCATTTTTTTATACCAAAAGTCTGATCAAGTTTATTTTAATGTTATCCGACTGATAGCTTTTCTTGTCAGTATCATTCTCATTTATTCTTTAACTAAAGAAGCTGGTGAATTCATTAACCTTTCTTTGTTTTTAATTTATCATTAATAATTATGGAATGGTTATCTGTCTAATTTTGTCTAATTTTTTAGTGCAAATTTATGGCCACAATTTAAAAAAAATCGTTGTGAATAAAGATTGTTAAGGCACCTATGCTGATCTCAGAGATTTTGTACAACTCTCCTCTACTCTGCATTTTTGGCAGTCAATTGAGAACGGACTGTGATGATCTGTTTTTTGTTGTTTGGTTTTTTTTTTCTTTCCTTTTTTTCGGGGAAGGAAGGGTTCCATAGAAAGCAGCATTTCTTTCCCACTGCTGTCTTTTTATGTTAATATTTTAAGTTTTCTTTACTTTCAGGCTTGTTGATTCAGCCTCTTATCTTCTGTTTCTCAGTATTGCTGTCTTCATGCTTCTCCTGGCAATTACTAGTTTCAGATGCATTTTTTTTGAGCATGTGAAGTCTGTGGATATCATGTACATAAACTGTTTGGCAAAAAGCTGATGGACAAATGGTTGAGATTTTTGTGGTTTTGTGCCTTTGATATGGTCTAAAAGACTTACCACTGCCCTCTGTTGACTGTGAAACAGTGCAACTTTTATATCACCTCAACAGCATGTTGTATGCGGTGAAGTGTGAAAAATCAGGACAGGAGCCTATATAAGGAAAAAGCTCCAAATATTGGGACTGTCCCTATAAAATCGGGACATCTGGTCACCCTAGCGGTCACGTCTACCTCAGCTCCCAGCAAAGTGGCTTTCACCTCATGTATTAATTTATCCAGGTCATTGCGTAATTTCAGTCATCGCATCATTCCAGTCATTTCCACCTTCCAAATCTAAGTCACCATAATTTAGAAAATAACATATATAGTTGCCATATTTCATAATATTTAAACCATTCCTGTTCTGTGCAGCAAAACCATTTTTAAACTTTATGAAATAGAAAGTCGATAACTACAGAGCACAATAAATAGTATGCAATCTTTTTACCTCTTTAAACTGCAAAGGTTGTGGCTACCAATAGGGCATGGCAATCAAGGTTTTTTCATTCGTTTGGTTTTTTTTGCCGTGGTTTCTGGGCGCAGTCCTTGAGCTAGATCGTTTGAAGTAAAATGTTTAAGCCCTACTGTGCATCATTGGCTGTGTGTACTACAATGACCTAGAAGTAAAATAACAAGAATATTGAGGTGCCCCAGTGGAAATTTCTGGGAAAATATATTTAATCTCTGCCGACACTATGGTTGGCATTAGGTATTGTTACTAATACTCTGTTTTCATGTGCTATAAATGCATTACTATTTCTATCTTTTTAAAGCATAATTTCTCCCATCACTCTTGGGTTTGGCTCAGAACGTGTGGATAACCAGTTGGATAACTATGTGACCACATCTCCATACAGTAAATGAAATGCCTACTTTTCCCTCCCTTGCTCAAAAGACCGTTCTTCATATAGTGAATTGTGAATGCACACTCATTTTTATTTATACATCTAGGATTACATCCTTCTGGATATGACCCTGTGCAGAAATACATTTTCCGTTATTATTTTTATTTATTTAGTTGTATTACCGTAGCACCTAGTCATGGACCAGGACCCTATTAAGCTAGTTGCTGTAGAAACATAGAACAAAAAGATGGTCTCTGAACATTAATACTTTTCTTCTTCCCTTTTTAGAACTGGAGATAAGAAAACTATTTCATGGAAGACCTTACCAAAGAAACCTTGCAAAAATCTAATGAACACTTTAAATAACTTGTATCAACAACTGGCAGAATGTGAGTGGGGGAAGTATAAAACAAGATTTTCACTAACTGTGGTACATTGTAGCTAATGTTAACAGATTGGTAGATTTTAGTTACAGTACAGTTTGCTGCAGGCATCCTTCACGATAAGTATCACAAAATGTTTTACAAAAAGGAGAAGTTTTTGCATAAACGTAAAGATTAGAAATAATCACAGTAAAACCTCAGACTTGCAGACACCTCGGGAATGGAGGTTGTCCGTAACTCTGAAATATTCGTAACTCTGAACAAAGTACAGTTCGGGTTCCGGATCCAGCAGCTGACACTCCAAGCCAGGTTTCAGCAGCAGCTGAGCTCCTTACTCGGTGCTGGCATGAGTTTGCAAGACTATCCCCCTGGAGGGGGTGGGGGACAGAGAGAGAGAGAGAGAAAACAGCATGTTCCCCTCCTGGGAAA